TGCCCAAAATTCCAGGAGGAGAATGGGGGAGAAGGGATTGCAGTGAGGCTATCCTACCTAGGGGATGATTTCTCACTTTCACTCTTACTGTCTTTCTCCTCTCTGATGAGTGCACATGCTCTATGACTAAAACCTTGAAAGAAAAATGAAAGAAAGAAGGAAAGAGAAGTATTGATAATTGGTTTTCCATTCTATGTTTTTTTTTTTTTAATTTTGCTATAGTATGCCTGAGCTTGATGGAGAGAGACAGAGTGAGACAAATTAGAAAGAACCCCCATGGGAGATGGTCGCTCCATAATCCCTTCTCCTCCATTACTCCTTTTGGGATTCTGGACACACATGCATATGTGTCCAAAGTGTTTTTCAAGTGATTGGGCCCAGGATTTGAACTGCTCTGTCAACCATGTGGGATCCAGCCTCTTCGACCACCATGCCACTGGTTGACCTGTTATCCATTCTTTTTTAAATCCATTTGTTATTGTAATATTTGTACAGTAATAAAAAACAGTGAAATAAAAAAGAGGTAATTAAAATAAACGTGTTTGTGGGACTAGCAGATGGCATAACGGTTACGTTGCTGGACTCCCATGTAGTCTACTACAGTTTGAGTTCTGAATCTGGCAGCTTGAAACTCATACCAGGCACATGTGCATGCACACCCAAAATCCCAAGAGGAGAATGAAGGAGAAGGGATTGTGCTGTAGCTATCCCCCATGGGGGGTAATTTCTCGCTTTATGTCTCTCTGTCTGTCTCTCCAGTGAGCACACATGCCCTAGGGCAAAAATCTCTTTAAAAAATAAAACAAAATAAACGTGTTTGAGAAAGTTACTGAGATAGGGATTAGACCCAGAGAGTCGGTAAGTGGAAACAATGGACATGCACTAAGTCAACATCCAGGCAGTGCATCCAGATACGGATGCTGATTCCTTCAAAGACCACCCTGGGTGGGTGTACGGATGCTGATTCCTTCAAAGACCACCCTGGGCGGGTGTAATTACATAGTTAAATTTCTCATCTGAGAGATTGTTAACGGATGGGAGAATGTCGAGTTGCGTTATGTCCTTGGTTCTTTCGGTCCAGATCACTAAAATTAGAGATCCGTCCCTAGGCGCAAAATGAAACCGCAACCACGAATGAAGTAGGTACAAAAGAATATTTAATAGGAAAGAATGGAAAGTACAACCAAAAAGGCTCTTGAGTGGGCAGATTGCCAGGTGGCAACTGCATTTGATACTGGCTAATTGTCACTTTTATTACTAGAGGTGATCATAACTATTTATTGGTGGGAGATCTGCCATACTACCTATGTCCTTCGTTTGAATTTGAATTCGTGCATTTTCTTCTGCACTTGCGCACTTTTCTCACAGGTAAGGAATGAGGAATTTGATTACGTTATTACACATGCCCAGTGTGAGCCAGGTCATTTAATTAGACTGCCTAATTAATTTATCCTCCTAGTGGGAATTAGGGCATTGACCAAACGCTTACTTTGGTCAACGCTTAGGGTGTTGACCAAAATGCTGAGAAAAATCTACGAATCATCCCTGTATGCTTCCCTCAGGCCCCAAGGAAGGAAGATGGCAAACTGCCTCGCCCTTCTGGTGCCCAGGGTTAGGTGAGCCTTTCGCTTTCCTCTTAGGGCTGCCCGCTCATGGCTAACTGCCTACCACAAGATGTGGCAAATACCAGATACTGACAGACCTTCCCCTGCTAAATATTCATTACCAACTCTCAAGATAAAAGTAACACTTAATCTTATCCCTGATACAGTTGTCCTCCAACAGCTGCCTGAAAGCATGTGGGCGTACTTCCTTCCAGACATAGGTGAAACCCCTCTTCCCATTTTCCGGGACCCCTCCCTTCTTGGGAACTGTGTTTTTCCTTCCCCCTCCTACAATAAACTCAGCTTGCTAGACCTGCTCTGTGTCTCCATGTCTCTAATTTTTTGTAAGCAGGAGGCAAAGCTCATGTCACACTGAGAGTGCGGAGCCTGGACACCCCTGCTCACCCATGTTCCTGTGTGACTACCATGCATAGGCACAACTGTATACATAAAATCATGAAACCTTCCCAAATACTCCTTTGGAGTATGTATGATTAGACCTATTTTGTGAGTCAGGAACCAAAAAAAAAGAAGAGGTGACAAAATTTCCACAAGATTTTCTGCTAATAGGCAATCGATCAGGCATTAAAATCTAGGTTGGTGTGATTTAGGAACATGTGCTCCCTCTACAGATTTTAGGGCAATTAGCAACATTTAATCTGAGCATCTCAGAGAAGTCTGTGTCCTGGCCAGAGTCACAAAGCTCATTAGCTGCGGAGCTAGGAGACTCAAGCAAAGTCACCATTCCTCTGTTAACAGCAACTCAGGTGTGTTCTTTCTGACAAAAAAAAAAAAATGCTTTTTAAAATATTTTGTTTAAAGAGAAGTCAAAATCTCCAAGAAAATATTGGATAATTTAGGTTAAATATGCAGTATTACCAGAAAATGCCTTGATAGTAGCATGAAGGTTTGGGGCCTCTCTTCCCTCCCAAAGCACATTGGATGAGTGGACACAGTTTCCCAAATGGCATCAGTGTAAATATTAGCATCACAAAAAGAAACACTAAGCACCATCCTTCTCTGAAAGTGGATCAAATCAGCAACACACATAGGTGTGTCTGCTTAATGAAGTGAAGGGAGAACAAGACCAAACATGACTGTGTCAAGTGAAAAACATCTTCATATAGAGCTAAACATATGCGTATCCCATTAGAGCAATGCAAGTCACTTGCAGATGTTACCTGGCAGCTTTGCACCTGGCTCTGTGAAAAATACTAACTGGCTTCAAGGTATAGTTAGACACCTGATTGGCTAGGCTGCAAAAGAAAAATTTAAATGTATCGGTGTGGTAGGTTTGCAGCATGGAGCCTGTACAAGCTATTCTATTCACAACGGAATGCATACTAAGTGTTGGCAAACTCACACCAATCTTCACATCGACAACTTAGAATGATCCAGTAGCTATCGATAGATCTAAACAAATAGAAGATTTCCCAGCTACCTGCAAAATGGAGCAAAGATTTATGCTTGGAGCCGGAAATTAAAAATACCAACCTCAAATTCTGTGCTGTTAGGCTGTGGGTGAGGCAATTCTCCATTCACAAAATAGAACAGTTTGACAGCTCTTGTGCTTGTGTAAATGCAGAATGGTTTTCAGATGAAAAAAATCAATGTTTGTGTGCCTCACAAAGTATTAATCATGCTTTGAGCAAACACCTCTCTTCAAGAAGCCCAGAACATGCCACGAACAGGAGTGCTCCTCATTACTCCCCATGCCTTTCCCATTAGTCATACCGTCTCACTGTGGGCAGGTGGGTTAGTGGCCTTCCAGAAGGAGAAAGCAAAGCGAAGCAGGTTGGGAAACTGGGTGTGGACCGAGAGCACAGCGATGGCCGAGCAAGAACCATGCCCCAGCACCTTGACGCAGGGCCTAGCAGGCAGTCTGTGTAGGCGTAAGTGGTACTAAAATGAAAAAAGGCCTAGAGTAGGAAAGGACAAGAGAGAGCTGTATTAGAAGAAAACTGTTCTTTGCCATTGTATATTTGTGACTCTCAGACAGCAAAGACCAAACACTCTGTCTTAGGCTAGGTAGCCTCAAGAACAGGAAAGTGTGGGTGTGCGAGGAAGGGAAGAAGACACAAAACCTAACAGACAGCAGAGCCAACTGCTGTGCATTTCATTTAACCCAGAAAGTCAGAACCCATCAGCAACCCACACACCAAAAATCATTAAGCCCTCTTTTGGCTAATCAACTTGTCTCCAAAAGTCAGTTTGTACTATGACAATTCCCACTGCCACAGTGACTGAGGCACTGAACAATTACTGCCTGACCTTCTGTTGACTTCCACTAACTAGATACTCGTGGCTCTAGATATTTCTGGTCAGTTTAGGCTGGTGACAGATTTGTCAGCCAACTGGTTCTTCTTTCCCCCCACAGTAACTTTTTTTTGAGAGAGGTTTTCGCTATAGGGCACGTGCACTCGCCAGACAGACAGAGACAGAGAGACAGAAAGCGAGAAATCACCCCCCAGGGGGGATGGTCACGCCGCAATCCCTTCTCCTCCATTCTCCTCTTGGGATCTTGGGCACGCGCGCACACGCGCCCGGCGTGAGTTTTAAGCCACCGGGTCCGGGATGTGAACCGCAGTAGACTACGTGGGAGTCTAGTGACATAGCCATTACGCTAACTGCTGGTCCCCCCCCACAGTAACTTTCAACAATGCTTTGAAGGAACACACCCTACTCACTTGATAATATTAAATGCAAGAAGCCCTCAGACCTTCTGTCACCGAAGACTTCCCTCAGAGCCCTAAAGGATGAAGCTGGAGGGAACTGTGAGCCCCTCACCAGATCTGAGGAACCAACCACTCCTAAAGCATTCTTGCTCTGCTAAAAATTCAGTGCCAAAATGAAGATAACACATTAAAACCACCCATATGCCTTTGCATCGCTACATAGAGTGTATGTAAGAACAGCTGCTTCACATGTATTTTGAACAAAAAATTCAACTCAATAATTTTGTTCGTTGCATCTATTTTCAGGTTTTCTCTGATTTTTCCCCTTCATTAAATTTCTAAAAATTTAACATCCCACACACCATACATATTCTTGCCTGGTTTCATATCATGATAATATGTACTCAATTATGTCTGTATGGAAAATTGATGTTCTATACATAAAGTCCATCAACAGAGTCAAATATAACACGCTTACCATATGATTCAGTATATCATTCTTAATTCACCAGACTGCTGTGAAAAACATATTCCTCCCCTGATGAAACAAACTCAAGATCTCATTTTATGATAGACAAACCCTTTATGTTATGTTAGACCAACTCTGCCATCCTCCTTCCTCTCTGGTTTTGAAAACAGATGACAACACAATGCTCACGGTCACAAGGGAGTGTCCCAGGCAAGGAAAGTGGCTGCAACACACACTCTGCTAGATGCCTGACTGGCCTTGGTACATATGATTACTGGAATGTGACCACCTATGGGGCAGGAGGGGTGTGTGTCACACACATGCACACATGCACACAGGAGTGAAAGAGCAGGAAGAAAGCACATCTACCTGTCCTCACCTCCTGCTGGAAGCTGTAAACTGAACAGTGGGTTAGTTCTTCACTGATGGGACTAAGTATGGGAGCCAGGGTTCTGTGCAGACATATTCACTAACATATTCTGAGTGTGACAGTTCAGTTGTATTAGCATTGCTATTACCAATGCCCGAGTTTAGAGTGCTTTAGGCAGTGTTAAGTGCTGAAGGCCAAAAATTGATATGAAGATAGCTGAGGAGAGAAAGAAGTAAACCAATGAAACCAGGTGTTTTTCTTTAGTCTTTGCACTACAAGATAAATACAAAAATCAATTTTAATATATTACTGGGTTGGTTTCTATTTTTCTCCTTGTTTATTTTGGTATGAGAGGTAAAAATCCATGTTTCAATAATGGCTCTGGAGAAACTCTACAGGTCTGGGCTTTGTTTTTTAAAAGCAGCCTTGGGGAGTGAACCAACTAATAGTTTCCTGAGTGACAACTGGGCTAATATCACATGAAGTAGAAGGAGCTATAAAAGAAATAAAGGGCCACATAGTCTTTTCATAAATAAGAGTTCACGCTGTAGATGAAGTTACGTAACACACAAGGTGGTGTTCTTCTAGAGTTATACAACAGAAAAATCGAGTATAAATTGAATTTTGGCAAGTCAAATGTTATTTTAACGTACTGGGAAAACTATATGGATACGAGAGTCTTACAGTTTATCCTTTACAGTTTTAAAGAAAAAGAAACACAACAGCTTTTTAAAATTTTTATTTACTTACTTAATTTTAATATATCCACATTTTCACACAACAGCTTAAAAAGCAAAAGATCCTCTGTTTATAAGAAAAACAGAAAGAAAGCCGAGCATGAATATGGTGTGTAAGCGATTACAAAATGGAATAGAGTAAGAGGCAAACTGAATTCCTAAGTACCAAGAGGCTGAAGAACAAAGCCTAACTCAGACCCAAGTAGGGTTGCATTTCTGTGTGTACATGCTACTCTTTCTGCAATATCACAATATTTTAAGACAGCCTGAGAGATACAGACTATGCAAATATATTCTCGCATTTCACACCAGAGAACAAACACCATTAGATAATTTCATCCTACTCCAGAGGCATGGAAGCCAAAATGTAAACACTACTAAAGTCAACTCTTTATCCACTTTCACAGGAGGGAAGAACAAAGGCATTGATAATCCAAGCGTGGATAAATGGAAAGATCATCAAGATAGCTCTGTAATGCACTTCTTTTTGAATATAGGTGTATCAGTGTTCAAGGAAATCACAAGTCTGCTATGGATATTAGTCATGAGGTGTTAGAAACATTTTTGCCATTTGATAACAGTCCCAAAGATACATTCTTAGATTGGAGACCAAAATTCTATTGATTCTACTAGACAGCTCTGTACGTGTGCGCATTTAATTTAGGAATTTGGCATAAAAATACAACATGGAGAAATAACCCAGACCACAACTGGGAATAAATAGTATAAAATAATTTTTTAAAATTCTATAAAGCATTGAAATTCCCTTCCAAATGCTGCAACTTATCATTCTAATAATGAGCTTTCTTGCTTCAGCTGCCTTATTTTTAAACCTTAATTTTTTTTTCATTACCCCTATGCTCCTTTCAATAAATTTAGTCTTCTTATCTTTAATACATTGAGGTATCTCTTCATTTCTATTCCAAGGCCTGCTGTTCAACTTTCCTGAGGTGTCTTCTGAATTCTGCTCTGACAGTCTCCTTGAGAGTTCTTGCCCATGAACATTCCAAATGAAATTTCATCAAAGCTTTCTCTATCCCACCCTGAGTCAGAGAAACCAACATGGCTAAACTTTACCATTGCACTTTTGCTATGCACAGTGGGATGGATATCATAAACTTCCAGGGCAGAAGACATGAGCATCCTTTGCTTATCATGCACAATGCCACTAAATCCTTTCAGAAAGCTATTTTCACATTTATAACCCAAGGTCACATGCATCAAAGAATGAGCCAAAAGCCATGCAAGCCCCCTCACCCTTCTGATCCTCACATGTTTAGAATTGGTGCAATATCATGCAAAGGAAAAGAGCATATCCTTTAGAGTCAAGCCAAACTGGATTTGAATTTCAGCCCAACAACTTACTAGCTAAGTAATCTTGGACAAGTTCCTAAACTCCTTAAAGCCTTTGTTTCTTCATCAGTAAGTCAGGAATAATAACTTATCTCTTAGGGTAGCTATGAAAATCAAGACCATGTAGGTAGAATATTGGGCACAGGTGCTCAACAAATATTAGCTTTTATTACTAAAATATTCTTGGGTTTATGAAAATGAAATTACTTTCTTGACTTTTGCACTGTAGCTTAGTAGATATCAACAATGAACCAGTATCTCAACATGATTTTCATCCTGTCATAACAAAAGAAAGTTTGTCACTATTGATTTAATTTTCTAAGGGACTTTTGCCCCCTCTAACTTGAGGAATGAATTTGAAATTTACAGAAACAGCTAGCCCAAGTGATCATATTCAGTTCATGTGAAATTCAACTTCCTCTAAGTGTTGGGAATTGTGTATCTTTACAGCTGTATCTATGTCTGTTCAGACTCAAAATGTTGACCAGTACTGCTAGGCACTGCTGAATAGGGGGAAAGGGTTCTTATGAGAGAAAGAGAAAAGAACAGTACTTAATGAAGTTGCATTTCAATTGAGCAGGGTTTTTAATAATAAAAAAAGAGCTTTTCAAAAATTCTTTTGCTCAGCAACAATAAAAAGAGGAAAAGAGCACTCAGCTGGGAACAATAGCTACTCAGTTCATAAAAAATCATTAGAAGGAACATTTTCTTTGTCTACCATGCCCAGTAATTTCGCTAGTGGGCAATGATCCAGATCACTGAAATTCCACCTATAAAAATGAGTCCAGAGTACCTTCTCAACTTTTCCAGCTAATAAATTTCACTAACAAAAATTCTAATTTCCTAGTGTGTATAACTCCACCATAAATAAAATTTTGGCTTATAATTCATAAAATAGTTCTGACAAGTGGAAGATACTGACCTAATGTTAACAGGATATCCACTTTGGTTGCTTTCCCATCAGAAGGGAGGGTCTAGGTTGACACATTTACTTAGTCCTATCCACTCCTAGTAGCCAGAGGCCAAGCAGTTCAGAGTGCCTGTGGACAGTGGGATTCTCACTGTGCAAAATAAACTGGCCTACCTGGATATTTAACTTTTCACTGCAGTCTCTGTAGCTCATCCTAAATTGGCTGAGCCAGATAAACTTGATATTTTTGACAAGAAGGATCTGGCTGACTCAAATCTTCTTCCATGAATGTCGATGTCAGTAATCGTACACTAATTGCAAAATGTATTGAAGTCATTAAAAGCTCTTTCCTACATTTAAGGTTCCCCAAGACAAAAACCAAAAGATTTCTGCATATGAATAAAATATGTTTTAATGCTCCTGCTGGATAATCATAAACATGCCTGTAATACAATTCTTAGTATTTTTTAATTTAAAAAGTATGAGGCCGAAAAAATTATCTATGTTTAAGAATATATTCTACTAATTTGCATATAAACATTTTAAGAAAGAATGTATTTTATAGCATGACTGCCTGTTGTTTAATACAAGGAACTTGGAAAAGTTTGTGGCAAAATGGCATTCAAGTATGTAAGTTTATTTATTTATTTAAGTTGCCAGAGGGTGTGAGCACTCATCAGAGAGACAAAGGCAGAGAGACAGGGAAAGAGAGGAGGCATGATCCCTTCTTTTCCATTTCTCCACACTTGTGGGCTTTTGGGGGGATGAACATATATGCATCCTATTTTTTGAGTTGTGTGGGTTGGGATTTGAACAACAGTCAGGCATGTGCGATCTGGTTCTCTTAAATGATAGGGCTGGCCCATGTATGAGTGCAAAAACAAACAAAAAATTGAAATCCATGCATTTTTTTCATAATACACCTTTACCATGAATTTTTGAAGTCCCCCCTCTCCTATTTGCTGAATGACTAAAATGCATTTCCAACAAATTTTAAAAGTGCTTTGAAGACTCAATAAAACAATGTCTTCCATACTTAATATTTTCTTCCTTACTAAACTTCTCTCCACTTTTGACTTTAAGTTGGAGACTGGCACCATCAACTATAATCTAAATGGCATTCTGTGCTCCCCTTTAATTAACTGTCCATCTGACTTCCAGTTTCTCAGGAATCTGTGAAGTAATTGTTTTGTTTTTAAAAGGCCTTTCTTGTTCCCTTAGATTGCATCTAAGATGTGAGAATAAACAGAAACTGCAATGTCAACAAAGAGCTTAATTAAGCAGAAGATGCAATGACAGCAAATATGTGAAAGCAATCTTTATTGAAGATAGGTAACCATTCAAATAAGCTTTTTGCAGATAAGAAGTGGAGGGTACAGAGCTAGTTAAAATCCAGTATTATAAGGATACTACCATTTAGAGAATTACTGCTGAATTAGTATCTGACTAAAATAGTTGTATCATCTGAAACTTGAGCTTTATTTCAAGTTATTATATATTATGGTTAAATTGCACATGCCAAAAGGCCAGATGTGGTGGCGTGTGCCTGTAATACCAGTGACTCAGGAGGCTGAGACAGGAAGATCAGGACATGGCAAGACACTGTTCTTGGGGAAAAAAAAAAAAAAAGTAAATTATACATGCCTTAACTGATTTAAGAGAGAAAGAAAAACCCTAACTCTGCCCTGATACATATTAAAGATGACCACTATTTCTTTCACAATCTTCTCTATCCTTTCCCTTTGAATGTAGGCAGGCTCTATAACTCAGACCAATTGAAAATGGCATGTGATGGACCACCAGTTTCCAGACACGATGACTACGCAGCTTCCACTTCCTGTCTCCTGAACCACTACCTCTTGTAACCCAACTGTTAAGTGTGACCACACTCTAGCAGCTCTGTGGAGAACCCTCTGGGAAGAAGAGTCCAGGCAGAGGAACGAAGATTCCCAGTCAATAACCACTTCCACCTTGCCAGCCATAGTTGATGCTGCTCGGCAATACAGACAAGTAATTCCCACCATGTCCAACCAAAATGCAGATTCAAGAGTGAAATAACACATCTCAAACCTTAATCTAAGGTATTCTTTTTTTTTTTTTTTGGAGAGGTTTTTGCTATAAGGCGCATGCACTCGGCAGAAAGACAGAGAGACAGAGAGAGAGAGAAAGCGAGAAATCACCCCCCAGGGAGGATGGTCACGTCGCAATCCCTTCTCCTCCATTCTCCTCTCGGGATCTTGGGTATGCACGCACATGTGCCCGGCATGAGTTCAAGCCATTAAGTCCAAGACTCGAACCACAGTCAACTACATGGGAGTCCAGCAACATAGCCATTATGCCAACTGCTGGTCCCAGAGAACATTAATTAAGTGGGACAATGAAAGAAGTAATAATTCAATCTTTTGGGCATTTGCTATGTAACTAAATGTTTACATGTTTATTCCTCCTAACAACATTATAAGATAGGATTATTTCTCTGTTTCATAGATGAGGATAATTAACTTACAAATTAAGTAAGTGCCCAAGATTACATTATAGGATAGTTCTCAAGACCCGATCTGACTCCAAGGAATATACTTGGAAAACATAAATGGAGGTACATTTTTGGTGACTTGAAGTCTCACAATACAGTATGGATTAGAAAAACAAGATGTCAAAAGGTGTTTTTTTAATTTTTATTTTTTTAGAGAGAAAAGATGTGTTCTAAGGGTGCCCCAATATTGCTTAGCATAACTTTTAAATTAGCAGTAACATCTGTTGACGTGTAGTATTCAGATAGCAATGTCTGACTACGATCTACTAAGGACAAGTGCTCCATACTAAAAGGAGGTGACAAAGACCGAGTGGAAGATTCTTTGTGGCAAAGTTGCTTCACAAGGTGCTGAGCTGTTAAGTACCACAAGTGAGAAACAGAGTGCCATGGAAATTTATTCATTTATCCTGTAAATATTTATTAGGGTGCCAATGTAACAGTGAACAGGACAGATGTGGCCTCTGCTGACAATTCATAATAGTACTTTTGCTAGAAGCACCAGAAAAAGAGGGATATATTTTAGCTTGGCCTTGCCTTATACCTAGGCTGTGGGCATATTGAGATCTTGGGATTAGGATGGCATGCTAGGAACAGGGATGATGATAAACAGGAAAATAAAAAAAAAAAAATGCTACTAAAGAAGGATAAGATTAGGCCTGTAGGGGAATTTTTCTTTTTTTTTTTTGGAGAGGTTTTTTCGCTATAGGGCGCGTGCGCTTGCCAGACAGACAGAGACAGAGAGACAGAAAGTGAGAAATCACCCCCCAGGGGGGATGGTCACGCCGCAATCCCTTCTCCTCCATCTTCCTCTCGGGATCTTGGGCATGCACGCACACGCGCCCGGAGTGAGTTTTAAGCCACTGGGTCCGGGACGCAAACCGCGGTAGAACACGTGGGAGTCCAGTGTCACAGCCATTACGCTAACTGCTGGTTCCCAAGCCTGTAGGGGAATTTTAAAGCAAGAACCATATCGTATGGGCTCTAAGATTCAGTAAGTGTGAAGACCGTTATTTTATATACCAAAAGCCAATAATAAATTATATATATATATATATGTGTGTGTGTGTGTGTGTGTGTATATATTAAACATTTACAGTCATGTAATGCCCCTCATAGGGGTAGTTTCATTCTCTAAAGAACATCTGCCATTGTCTAGAAACATTCCAGGTCATCACACTGTAGGAGGAGCTATGTGTGAGCAGTTAACAGGCCGGAGATGCTGCTAATCGCCTCAGTGCACAGGATAGTTCCCCACAAAAAAGAGTCATTCATGAAGCCAGTAGGTGATGGTGGTTAAGGCACTAGACTCCCACATGGCCAACCACAGGTCGAGGCCAAACCTGGTGGCTTGCTTTCTCACTTTCCCTCTCCTTGTTTCTCTCTTTCTGGAGAACACATGTGCCCTATAGCAAACTTAAACATAATAAATAAAATAATATGTATTTTTAAAGTCATTCAGCCCAGCATGCCAATAGTGCCAAGGGTGCAAGCTCCTAAACTATGGAATGTCATCAGCTGAAAGATGCTTCTAGGATATTAAAGTATTTTAAGACAGATGAAATACAGCAGTTCAGTTAGCCTAGAATGAACCCGGAATACTTACAAGAGTATTGGGAAATAAGGCCAGCCCTCTGTATCTATATCTGTTTTCTCTCCTTTGAAATAGTAAAGAAATGATAACCATGGACCGTTTTTGAGAAATTAATTTCATGCACTGTAAGTCACAGGGCTGGGCTTGCATGACCCCTCTGTCCATCTTCTGCTTTTGAGAAAGTCTGCACTCCAGTCATAATAATAATTGATCTTGGGGCCAATAGGTGGTGTGGTGGTTAAGGGCGCTGGACTCCCACATTGCAGAACACTTTCTCTCTCTCTGGTCAAATTTAAATAAATAAATAATGTTAAATAAAATAATTCTTAAAAAAAAGAATTGATCTAGCTATCTATTTTTGCAAATGATAATCTTGAAGAACACAATACCAATCACATGATAACCTTTTCATTTATTTTATTTTATTTTATTTTTTTTAGTTTTTGTCAAAGTGTGTGCACTCACGTGAGTGAGAGTGAGAGTGAGAGAGAAATCATCCACCTATTTACCAGGGGAATGGTCACAATCCCTTCTCTATTCTCCTCCTGGGATTTTGGGCATGTACACACATGTCCATGGCATGATTTTTAAGTCACTGAGTCTGAGACTCAAACCGTGGAGTCAGCCATGTGAGATCCAGTGCCTTAACCTCCATACCACCTGCTGGCCTTCTTATTAAGTTTTTAAAAAACTTATTATCACTTATTCCAAGACGTACCTTCCCCAATATACTCAGTTAAAAATATCATTTTCTTCTTTTGAACTTCTTTAAAATATCATCTGTACCTCTCTAACAGTATTAATTATTTATGTGGCTTATCTTTCCTCTAAACAGAGGCCATTCTGGGTCAGGATCAATGTCTGACTCATACTTGTAACTCTCCAAGGACCCACTTCAGTGCCTTACACATCATAGGTGGTCAATAAATATTTGCAAAATGAATAATTGAATAAATATACAGTACTAGAAGACTATAATTAAATATAAACTCCTTAGATTTCTCCCAGTTCTTTTCAGTCTTTCCTCATAGGGCTCATTTTGCAACTCTTTAATCATTTTAGTAGCTCTCCAAGTTCTCATGCTTCAGCGATAAGGTCTCAGAGAGAGCAGAGCCCTTTAACAAGTCCTAACCATCACTTTACAAAACAACATTTAGCAAATTCCACTATGTTCCAGATCTTTCCCCATGAGGCAGCAGTTACTGTATGGTCTCTAAACATTTAAAACACCTTACATAGGAAGAATCCCAAATTCCTCTAAGGAAACAAGTGGCAGTGAGGGTACAATTACAAGCGAGAAGAAATTGACTATTCATTGCTCCAAATCCCAGTTACATTCCTGTGGTCATTCTTATTATACATCTGTGTGTGTGTGTGTGTGTGTGTGTGTAGGAAGATTTTAGGACTGACATAACAAAAATCTTAAAAAGTATAGATAGTAGAGAAAAGGAATGAAGAAAAAGATCAATTATAGAATTTTAAGGGATTCCTTTAAAAGATAATAGAAAACAAAACTATTATTAATCTTTTGAGTTTATATAACTTTATGGTGGAAGAAAAGATTGTGGTCAACACATACAAAAATGAAAATGACAAAGACTGTGTTTTAAATTAATTTGCAGGTCTTCTTTTTTATAAGTCCATTCTTATGCTCCCTTCAGCGTGGTTCTTAAACATCAATCAGTGTTTGGTGGTTGCTTCTAGTAAGTCTTTTGCTTCATTTATTTTGGTTGCTAAGTAAGGCGATCCACCTGAGAGGACAAACAAAACAAAACAACAAATAGATTAAAAACACTTCATTATTGACAGTTTTTAAAGGCCCTAATGTAGTAGAAACACTCTTTGTTATAATTATCTGAAATTATTGCTCATTCATTCTCTGAAAAATTATTTTATAAGCTGACTAGAAGCTCAGTGACTGCAGGTGGTGCATTAGGAGAAGATCCCACAGACTCAACTGTCCTGGTGGCCTGAAAAACACACCAGGCACGTGTGCGTGCGTGCCCAAAATCCTAACGGGGAGGAGAAATGGGGGAGGGGATTGTGGTGTGACCATGCCCCACTAAGGAGTGCTTTCTCTCTCTCCCTCTTGTGAGTGCATGTGCCCTCTGGCAATTAAAAAAAAAAATCAAAACAACATAAATTAAACTTTTCAGATTTAGTTTATTAATCTGTAATTGGACAGATTATAGTTATCTAATAATCAAAAAAAAAACTCAGAAAAATAATGAAAGAAAGCTACTATCAAGAATAATTTGGGGTGGTTAAGGGCGCTGGACTCCCACATAGCCAACGGTGGTTCGAGCCCCAGACCTGGTGGTTTGCTTTCTGTTTTTTCCCACTCTGTCTCACTCTGTCCCTCTCTGGTCAAATTAAAATAAGTGAATAAATAAGTAAAGTTAAATAAAATAATTCTTAAAAGAAATAAAAAAGAATAATTTGAAACAACTCAAACATTTCACTGGTTAGACATTTACCATTCAAACATTTAACCAGAGAATTTTCTGCAATTAAGTGGATGGTTAGGTAACAAAATAATGATCTTTTCCCATGACTTTTTTCTAAAAAGGGATGAATGTTCATTTGTGGCAGAGGATATCATTTTGAGGAAGGTAAATCAATTAAGAATCTTTTAAAGTCTTATCAAGTCTTACAGTTTCACAAAAATAAAATGTTTAAAACTGCAACTATGGGGCTTGTCCCACAGCACAATGGGTATGCACAGTACGTTGGAAGCCACATCACACATGGCTGACTGCAGTTTGAATCCCACCTCTGGAGGCCTAAAAAACTTGCCAGGTGCATGTGCACATGTGCCCCAAATCCAGATAGGATGGAGAAATGTAGAAAAGGGATTGCGGCATGACCACACTCCACTGGAGCGGTGCTTTCTCTCTCTTGATCTCTTTCTCTCTGGCAAATGCATAAGACCTCTGACAATTAAAAAAAAATACAATTAGGGACCAGCAGTTAGCGTAATGGCTATGTCGTGGACTCCCACGTAGTCGACCGCGGTTCGTGTTCTGGACCCGGTGGCTTAAACTCACACCAGGTGCGTGTGTGTGCATGTCCAAGATCCCGAGAGAATGGAGGAGAGGGACCGCAACGTGACCATCCGCCACGGGGGTGATTTCTCACTTTCTGTCTCTCTGTCTGTCTTTCTGGTGAGCGCACATGCCCTAAAGCAAAAACCTCTCCAAAAAAACAAAAATACAATGTAATTTTACAAAGGCAACTGTGTACTACCCAATACTAAAAATCATATTTACTAATACTGATGAATAAATTAATACTGATAAATGAGTGATAATAAAAATAATATTAATGGAATCCTTGCTGTTCTCTAAAATGATTCTATTAGAATATTTACTGAGTGTAGTCTTGGACTCATACTACCCTAAAATAAAATTAAGTCAGTCCATTTTTAGATTCCTTGGCAATGAATTCTTTCTAATGTAAACAGCAAGAGGAAAATCGAGGTGAATTTCAAATGCAGGATCATTATAAATCACAAACAGAGCCTATTTGACATACAAAAATACCAGCCCCAAACCATCACATTAAAGCTATTTAAACATCACACGCCTTCTAACTTCTAGTCGTGAATCCTGTCATTGCTTAACACTTAGGCTAACAATCATATTACAGTTCACCTATTGCTTTGTGTTTGTTTTTATTTTGTATTCTCCTCTCAAGTGCAAACTATCTATAGCCGTTGAAAACATCATAAGGCCACAGTGGCTTACAACAAACTAAAAAGCATCTAAATGGTATTGGTGTAAACGGTCCTGATTTTTTTCAGGCTTTTCATTGATACTGTACCACCCACCTTTTGAAAGGGAAAGCAAGCAGGGAAAACAGATCAACAAACATAAACATGGTGGTGCAGTCGAAAGTGCAACGCCAGAGAAGCTATATTTAGCTTTTCACCCCTGAGGATACCACTGACATTTTCATATCAAGACCTAAATTGCTATAAACAATTATGGATGGGATAGATCATAAAGTGCCCTTGAACATGCAACAAGAATTACAAAGAAAGATGATGAGTCTTATATGTGCACTTGGTTAAGAAATAGGTTGATTCCATGTGTATTTCTGAAAAATTATCTCGAAAATGTCAATTGTGATTTGCAGTTTAAATTTTTAGAATTATCAAGGTGATGGCAGGCATAATCATATAAATATTAAATTATTTTTCCTTTCTGTTTATTTTTTTACAATCAGTGTACATCTTTTTTTAAAAAGATTTACTTAATTTTATTTATCATTATTATTTTTAAATTTGCTACAGGGCACGTGTACTCAACAGAGGGGGCCAGCATGAGAGCAAGAAACCAAGCTACCGAGTCTGGGACTCAAACTGCAGTCGGCCATGTGAGAGCCCAGCTCCTTAACCACCACGCCACCTGATAGCCCTCTATCACTATTCATCTTTACAGCATACAAAATGGATTTTCTCATCATGAATACATTATATATTAGTCCAAAGATATTACCCCATATATTATCACCAGGTAATTTTCCATTTTTGTGTTTGTTAAATAATTTTGCTGCTTCTTTTTTCCCCTCTTGATTCCCTTCCCTCCCCCTCCTACCCCAAAATATTAAACGGTTAATATGGTCATTTGGGAGTTGGGAAAAAAAAATCAAAGGCACAGAAAACTGAAAGTCTTATTAAATATTATGTTAACTGATGACAATATGTAAGGATAAAAATGACTGTTTATCCTGAATAAGCTGAATTTTCTAGCACTCACTTTCTGTAAGAGAGACACTGGGCTTTTTTTTTTTCATTGATAGATAAAATTGCATGTGTTTATCATGTACACCATGATGATTTGAGGAGCATATCTACTGTGGAATGGTTAAATCTAGTAATTTACATGCACCACCTCACACAATCATCATCTTTGGTAAGAGCACTTAACATGAGCATGGTAGGAACTCTGGATTAGAATAATCCCCACTGTACCTCCTAATACACATATATACATTCCCTTCCAGTAGTGTTTGATTAAAATTTGGTTTCTTCAGTT